AGAACATTTATCGGGGCAAAACAAGTGCAAAATACTCACGTTTTCGATGCGACGGCTAGCTGGGCGAAATGACGTCCTCGACGAGACGAGGACGGCAGAGAGATTAGTGGAGAGTTCTCGTGCGCATGCCCCGTTGAGTAAATTTACTTCCGGTAGCCGTCCTAGCTCTTCCCGTCCTGGTATCTTAAGGTGCCCACTAACCAGTTTACAGGTTTCTAAATGACTTAAGCAAACGTTAGTTTCTGAGGAAAAAAAAAACTTACACCCATATAAACCTGTAAGAAAATAAGAAAGAGAAAAGTGCTTAATGATAATAATCTACTTGTGTGATTCTCAGGTCTGTGCGGTATTATGTGCTAGAGTTATCAGTCAAACTCTTACACATACAGTTAGATAAGTCCTTATACTGTGTCCACCGGAAGGGCACGAAGCCAATGAAAACATCTGGAATTTACGTCTGATAGTTTAGCCACATAAACCAGCAAGCATTCACCTAAATACTGCTCTTTATTCGTNAGAACATTTATCGGGGCAAAACAAGTGCAAAATACTCACGTTTTCGATGCGACGGCTAGCTGGGCGAAATAACGTCCTCGACGAGACGAGGACGGCAGAGAGATTAGTGGAGAGTTCTCGTGCGCATGCCCCGTTGAGTAAATTTACTTCCGGTAGCCGTCCTAGCTCTTCCCGTCCTGGTATCTTAAAGTGCCCACTAACCAGTTTACAGGTTTCTAAATGACTTAAGCAGACGTTAGTTTCTGAGGGAAAAAAAACTTACACCCATATAAACCTTTAAGAAAATAAGAAAGAGAAAAGTGCTTAATGATAATAATCTACTTGTGCGATTCTCAGGTCTGTGCGGTATTATGTGCTAGAGTTATCAGTCAAACTCTTACACGTACAGTTAGACAAGTCCTTATACTGTGTCCACCGGAAGGGCACGAAGCCAATGAAAACATCTGGAATTTACGTCTGATAGTTTAGCCACATAAACCAGCAAGCATTCACCTAAATACTGCTCTTTATTCGTTAACTATTTAGATTTCTAACAATCACTGATTTAGTCTCTTTCTTTAACGTGCGTGACCGCTTTGACGCGGTCATCTTGGCGTCGTGCGGTGAGAAAACTCTGAAATTTAGAATTCTCAG